TCGTAGCAATGCAGTGGCGTAGTCAAACAAGTACAAATTGTGCACAACCCTGTAAAGCGCAGTTAAACACTCCTACGAAATTTTTTCCATAAAAGTTGGCACTGCACATCCTACACAAAACCAAATTTAGAAAATGGCGCTACATTTGCTTTTATTCCAAGTGGCTATGTATCACATTTTATTTAAATGCCCTCGTAAATGCCCAATGGTTATATTTCTTCCAAACGTTCCAATCGCCCTTTGTAGGTACTTTCCTTTGACAATTCACTCTTAAGATATAAGGAATTATAACCGATCACGACAAGGGATCGAGGAGTAAAACTATGGTTAGTATAAATTAATTCCTTTCGTTGAGACGTTTCATTAGAGTACCATGAAGGATAAAACTAGTTCCACTCCCCCTTCCTTCTTCACCTCCTACTTAATAATAAGAGGACAAAAAGAAGGGCAGTAGTTTGTAGAAAACGGTTCCTTTCGTTGAGACCTTTAATTACAATACAATGAGAAATAAAATTAATTTTTAACCCTCCCCTCCCCCTCAGGCCCCGTCGCTCACTGATCTCGAAAAAGAGTCGCGCGGGAAAGTTATAGTTTGTACAAACACCAATTTATTTCGATGAGACCTTCCATTAGAATATCATGAAGCGTAGAACATGTGCCCCCCCCCCCCATTTTCTAAAGCACCACTAAAGGCAATCGACAATCCGTTCTTGAGGTATAAGGGAATATACCGATCATGATAAGAGGTCAAGAAGGAGGGCGATAGTAGGTAGAAATTAAATTCCTTTCGTTGAGACCTTTCATTAGAGTACCATGAAGGATAAAACTAGTTCCACCCACCTTCCCCCTAAACTCGTACTTTCATAAGAGGAAAGAAGGAAGGGCAATAGGGAAGTTATAGTTTGTACAACACCAATTTATATCGATGAGACCTTTCATTAGAATACCATAAAGGATAGAACATGTGTTAACCCCCCCCCATTTTCAAAAGTTTAACTTGGCATGCGTATACAAAATCTGAGACCAATTGGTTGTCGTATGTAAAAGTTATGCACGTTTTACTTTCAAAAACAGCATCTCAGGAAATAAATCGTGGGGGGGGGGCTTTTAGACAGCGACATTTGATGGCCGTCTGGCACACCTTCAAGGTATAGGCTGCCTACTGCAAAAAATTCGAGGAGTCTAGGACCATTCCCCTAGAAGTAGTTCAAAACGGTAGAAGTGGGTCCGGACGGACGGACGGACAAACCGCAAACAATAGCACATTTTTTTAATTCTTAAAAAATGCGCTTAAAATTGTCGAACCGCCTTTTCTGAGATTTAACCCAAAGTTGGTATTTTTTAAATGCAACACCCTGTATATCTTAATGTCAATCTTTCCCAATTACATACCTACATTATATCAAATTTTTGAAATGACCGTCAGCCATTTTTATTGATTGGTATCAGATGTCTTAGTTACCATGGATACAATAAACAAAACGACAACTCCATTAATCCAAGACCTACTATTTAGAAACTGTAAAAAATAAGGTTTTTATTTTTGGTTCATGGCTAAAATTAAAAAATATGTGATACAGCGAAAAAAATGCCAAAAATTGACATACAGGGTGTTGCATGTAAAAAATACCAACTTTGGATCAAATCTCAGGAAAAATTTCCCAATTTTTTTACTATTCCACTGGATTTTCTGTAAAAACATCTAAAATAGGCAGTTTTACCTTCATTTTCCGTCCGTGGGTACTTTTACGTCATGGAGTTTCAGAAACGTTGTCACCTGTAAATTAGCTCTGGAAGTCATTGACGCAACTCTGTCCGGCGTTTGAAGTAGTATATATTATCTTAATTTATTAGGTCTACGTCATCAAAACTTCCGATGTAGAATTACCCGGTAGAAAAATCTGAGAAAAGCAGAATTGCAAATTTGATCTAGCGTGGGATTGTGAGTTATGACTCTAGAGCTCGTGTTAAACGAATCAGAGTAATTCTTAATAAAAAAAGAATGGCCGATTTCATTAATCAAGAAAAATAGGTACGGATTAATCCGGACATTTTGGAAAGAATTCGGATTTGGGCTACCGATGCCTCAAGTGTGTGGTTCAAAGTAGAGTTTTTGAAGAGATAAGAGACAGTAGTAGTAGAAGAGAAAGTAGTTTATCGGTACATTTGATCTTATTCACTTAGCAAATCATTCATTTTATTTATTTACAATATTATTGATGTACCGTACCGTAATTGGTTCCTTGCGCGTATTGTGATTAATTAATGTCATGCATTTCCCAATATTGTCAGTTAAAAATATTTAGAAAAACTGCAAGCGTCAAATACCTCCGGTCGAGAGAACGATTTCCAACGGAAATTAATCAACGTATTATTGGAACCTACACCAAAAGAAAAATTTAGAAATTAAAAAGTCTTGAGAACAATTTTCAAATAGTAGCACTTGGACTCGACAAGAAAGTCTACCTCTAAGAGGTAGTGTAAATTTCTATTTGTATAAAATTAAGGTTTGATTCTCTTCATAAACATTTACCTAAAAGGTATTTGCTGAAAAATTAATCACTTTCCAAAAGAATTATTGTTAAAGGAAGCAATCAGGGGGCTAATTAAAGCCGTCCTGTATTATGTGTAACTAATTTACCTAGGACTCGTTGAACTTTTTTTATTTGTTGCTTAATTTTGTTTAAATAACTTTTGGAAATAATGTTTTGTTAAAGTTATCTCATTCAATCCGGTCGTCGCCATAAGAAATTTGTTATCGTTGCGTAAGCTAATTAGTTTTAAGATAAGCAGGTTTCGCCGTTAAGAAACCACAGGTGTTTAATTGCGAAGACGCCAATTCAAGTAGAGGAGAGGTGGAAAGTGATAGAGGGAAGAATGTTCTAAATAGCAGAGACGGACATTAAACGTGGCTTATTTGGTGGTTTTTTTTAGTTTGCTGGAAGTTGAAACATAGCCGCTTATTGTTTTCGTGATTGGCAGTTTTGCCGTATTTAAGCGTATTATCGCAAGACAGTTCGTCTTACCAGTTGTAAAGTCTTTGTAGAAGGAAGTCAATTGTGTGCTCTAAGAGATTTTATCTAATAAATCGTTCAAAGTGAATGTTTAAGTTGAATTAAGTGGTAGTTGGTAAAGTTGGCGATCATTTTTTATGCGTCATTGAATTCGAGATATGCTGTGATCTGTAAATTAGCTCTGGAAGACTGTCCAGCGTTTAGAATAGGTTATATTATCTTAATTAGGTCTACGTGACCAAAACCTCCGATGTCTAGTTGCAAAAACTTAAAAAAGCCAAATTAAAAATTTGATCTAGCGTGGGATGGTGAGTTATGACTCTACAGCTAACGTAATTGGTGGATGTTAAACGAATCAAAGTAATTCTGAATAAAAATGTCCGATCTCATTAATAAAGTGCCATTTTGGTGCGTCAATTAATCAAGAAACATAGGTAGGGATTATTCCGGAGAAGATTTTGGAAGGAATTGGGGTGTTGGACCACAGAAACGTCAAGTGTGTGCTCCAAAGTTTATAGGTATAACATTTCTTCGAACAACTGTAAGATTGTCACTTTGGTAGTGAGTTCCATACGTCCAAATCACGTGGTGAGTACTTAGTTGTGATGTTTTAGTGAGTTTTTAATTAAAGGAAAATTCATTATTTGCCTGGACCCGTTAGCAACCAAGTTGATCCAGTAAACCAGGCCATCTTAAGAATAGAATTCATATGAGAAAAAACCAAACTTTGCGTTTCGTGTCAATCTCAACTAGTTGAGCGAAACAATTGCTGCAGTTGCTATAAGCACACTCGACAGTGGAAAATGAATCTGGAACCTCTCCCCGAAACGTCGCAATCGAAGGAAGAAACTGTTCCACGGTATAGAAGACGGGGCAAGATTTGCGCAGCACACTAAAGTAAAGAGCGCTTATGTTCTCGACTGTCTTTAGTGTGTCTATCCACCACTCTGTGCACGATAAAATTTTCCTCCTACCACCTATTGCTTTCGAGATTTTGACATATGAACTTATGCTTCATAGTTCGTTTCTAATTGTATACTGGTGCACCTACACATACTGATTAGTTTTTCACTATTAAATCTGTCTTTTGTAACGGATTGCGTTATTTGTTTTTTTTTTAATCTGCATGTACACAGTAAAGTTAAATTATGTATGAAAAAACGGGGTTCGTGTTACAGAAATGTGCATTTTCAGTTAGCAGCTCTATAATCGCTTTCCGAAGAAAAGCTTCGGCATCGCTAGCACCAGATCAACAACAAAAAGCATTTCCGGTGGTAGAAGTTAGTTCCCGTTGATGAATCGCAGCGCAACGACCCGCCTTTTTACGTATGGCGGAGTTCAGTATGCGAAAACGTCACTTTAAAATCACATCCTGATGGGATGGGTCTTCGGGGTACAAATATAGGTACAAGAATCAATCCTATAGAAAGTAACAAAAGGAACGCACTGTAAATCACACTATTTGGTGGTCGGTTAATTGTTGGTAAATATTTTGTAAGAACGGTATAATTTCCCTTTTGCGTTGTAGTTTGCCGCAATTGTGGTAGCCGCGTTGTGATAAATATTGTGTAGTGGTTCTTTGACATAAGTCAACATTCGTATTAATTTATTCTGACGGCGTAGCCCTAAGTTCGTTTAAGATATTAATTGTACAAAGTTAACATTTTCTTCACCTTCCTTTATACATACATACTTTGTATGTAGTCCGAAAGTAAAAAAGAATCCCAGTCGAATTATCAATGAAGTTGGAAATTCGAATATTTCTAACCAAACGCGATCTTCCATAAGCGTTGATTAGCACTGGAGAACTTTGCGATAACTCAGTTGGTAACACAGCGGCTTCCCGAATATAATTGTAGATGACGCGGGTTCGAACCCAAGCGCGTGCGTGCGCTTTTTTAAACAGGCGTTCATTAAATTTATGCGACAACTTTTTGTATTACTTATAATATAATAATTAAAAGGAATGTCACAATGGAGAAGATACTAAGGAAGAGTTAATTTATACGAATCGACACGTGGTTTAGCGGTGAGCGGAATTTGAGGCGAGAGGGAAGCTTTTAACTTAAACAGTAAGAAGTAGTCACATTTCTTGGTACCAAATGCCACATCTTTTATCTAACGTTATTTAAACACATAACCAACAGCTGAATTTATTTTGAGGTTGTCAGATGCGTCATTCCCATTTACTAACTTGTATTTCTCTTCCAGGGAGGTAATTAAGAGAATAAAACACCGTGTGAATTTTCCCATCAATCACCCAAAACGGAAAATACCTGTCCCCAAATTATTGTTGATAATTTTAAGGCACCTACCTTCTAAAACATACACAATGCTGCCGACATCCCCCTCCTTAATGATGAGATCTTGCGCCTTGTACGCCTCCGGGTACATGCAATCGACAATTTCGCGAATTTGGGTCAATTCCAAATTCTTCATAAAATCGTTGTCCAAAATTGCTGCCTTGATTAGTTCACGCGATCTGAAACAGAAACGAAACGATTAACGCATCGAGTGCACACATTTCTATTAGTTAGGTAGTTAGGTAGGATTAATCAATAATGATCCAAGTTCTCTGGTCTGAAATAATGTATTAGGCGATTGAATACCTGAAGTATTCATGACGAATCATACTAAACGTAAATGGCTGTGATTAAAAAATGAAATAATCTATCCGGCTCGAAGAACCCATTTGTAATGTGCGGATACGACATTTTCTACTGATTCCAACATTTGTGAAATTAAATAATAGCTATTGTCAAACTTGTTTTTACGGGGGCTTAAAAAGCTACACAAAATCTTTTGTGTTGTATTGATGTTTTCATACAATTAGATGAATCAGTTTCCCATTTGCGGATAACCTTCATTTTATTCATTCAGTCTGCAACCAACGCGTGCCCCACATGATGAAATTGGTAAAAATGGAAGTAATCATTTTCCTTATCTTTGGATATAACGGTACCTCTCAAGCGAGCCTAAGTGACTCCGTGAAAATCAAGCGTAGTGACGCAATACGTGCGTGCGCGACCAGAGTAATCCAGCAGTTTTTACCCGTGTCACACAGATTCACCTATGTTTTTCGCGACCACTCCGATTTCCTGCCGACCAATTTGCTCAACCCCGTCTTCATGGTGGACGCCGCGAAGGCAATGCCCCAGAGCTTCAAGTGCACCGAACTGAGATACGTGATCGAGGCTTTCGACTACGATTCGTTAATCAAGACGCTCGAGACCCTAATTCCGAGCCCCCTGTGGCATCCGGAACCGGCACGAAACGGAAAATGTGTGATAATCACAAAGGAGAAGGACGTCGCATCGATCTTTCACGCGATCTGGGGTCTGCAGATATTCCGCGTTATTTTGATTGTCTATGAAGACGCCGGAGACGCGTCAACCATGAAAGTTGTGACGAGTGACCCAAAAACTGAGGAAAATGGCTGGGGAGATACGCCAAGAGTGTTCCATTACCAAAATTGTGACGCTCACCTTTCCATTGCATTCCCAAAAAAGAAGTGAAAATTGTCAAAGAAGAAATGAATACTATTCCGTTCTAGCATCAATTTGTAGTAATTATATTCCAAATTTGTATAGTTCAGTTCTTTTATTATAGGTCAATACCACCTACCTTTTCCCTTTGTTTCCGTTGTTCCGTTTGAAAACTTCGCCAATATGGTTACAACGGCGATTTTTCTTTGAAACTGGTCAGTTTGCAACAATGTCCGGATGTCAATTTTATTAATTATAGATTTTGTTTAAATTTTAACCCAAGATTCTTCTAATAGTAAAGACAAGCTTATCGCATATTGTAAAAATCAGATATGCGCATGTGCAAAGTGCGTAATGCCAACTTTCTTATTTATGGAGATATTTTAATGAAATTTTAACCACAGTGTCCCTTTCATCGCCCTTTTCAATTTACTCATCGTCTCTTTCTTCTGGTTCCATTTTCCCTTCATCTCTCCCTTCTTCATTTTATTGCCCCCCCCCCCCAACCCTCTTCTTAATTTGTGTTCTCCTCTATTTTTTCTCTTCTTTTTCTCCCTCAGCATCTCCCTTGTCTTCTCTGACCCATCTTCTAACCTTTCTTTTCTTGTTTTTCATCTTGGTGTAATTACTGTTCTTGTTATTCTAGTTCTCCTTATACTACTCTTGCTTTTCTTGATTCTCTTGTTCCTCTCGGTCTTCTTGTCCCTTCTATTCCATATCAAGCGTCAATCCAATCAATTTGGTTTTAACTTTTGAGGTCTGGGAAACAAATGAATACAGCATTTAAAAAACTTCTATGTATCCTTTTATTTTTTCTTGTTATAACCCCTTCACCCCATCTTGCCTTATTTGTTTCTCTTGTCTCACTTCCTCGCCCTGGCCGTCACGGGTCTCTCACTCTTCTTGTTTTGCTTTCTGTAGTTTTTCTGCTTTTATGGCTTTAACCACACTCTTGTCGCTCTTCTCATTTTTTAATCTTTCTGTTCTTCACTTTATTCCCCGTTCTTCCCGTGAATGCTAATCCTTCCGTTTCTTCTGTTGTTCCTGTTTCACCATCTTCCTCTTCAGTTTTATCTTCCTGTGTCTGTTTTTTTATTCCCCGCGTTACTCTCGTTCCTCGTAATGTTGCTAATACCTTTTTTTGCTCTTTTTGTCCTACTGGCTCCTTTCGCCCTTTTGGTATTTTTTGTTACTGTTGTCCATACTTCTCCTATTGATCTCATTCCTCTTAAAAGGCTCTTATTGCCCTTGCCGAGTTTTTTGTGAGAACCTACGGCACTATACATTTACAAATATCCATGCCCGGATCAGGATTCGAACCTGGGGCCCGTAGTGCGGCAGTAGGGCTTCCACGCCACTGCGCCACACAGGCCGGTTTGCTTCGGATATGTTCATGTTCAAAGATATTCAGATACTAAATTTCGTCAAAACACAAGTGGAAAACGTTGAAATTCCACGCAGAATTTCACGGCTACTACTTATTAATATAAATGAGACTGCCACTCCACTATTTGTCACTGAAAATGACTTCAAAAGGCAAAAAGATTTTAGAACAAAATGCAATTGTTTTATTTGCAAAGACTCTTGTTAAAATTTTACAAATGACTACTCGGCTTGCCCACATTAACACGAGACTCAAAATTTACTGGGTTCATAAACATGTTACAAATTTTTTAACAATCACAAATGCCTTAAATCCAAAATTAAACCTAACTCTCTCGAACATTACCTATATTAAATCTACCCTTTCCCTTTAATTGCATACGGTATTAAACAAGATAATTACCTGTTGATGGAGGAATGATTGATGAATATAAGAACGGCAAGGAGGACTAAATTTCCCATTAAATATGTCTATCTTATACAGTTTATGTATACAACATAAATATTTAAAGCGTGCGAAATATACACATTAAACAAATTTATTATTTCTGTACTGTTGTGTAAACAACGTCATATAGAGCTTATTTTAGTCTAAACACCAAAAATAATGACGGGACACCCTGTAGGTATATGAGAATATTTCAATTTCAATTTAATAAATAAATCCGGGAGATTACTTACGAAATATGCACAGAGTTGGTTTGTTTCATTTGAATTTGTATCTCAGGGTCTATTGTTCCTTTTAGATTTGTTTGCAATTGCATAATATTGTCTGGTTTAAATTTCATCACTTTTGTAATTTATTCAATTTAGATAAGGTGTTAGAAGTAAGACATCTGGTTGTTTGCGATAAGGAGTTTTATCCGGTGAAACCTTTCTCTTTCATCAAAAGTTTGTACCGTCCGAACAACCACCGAAAATTTTTCATCTTATTTATCAAGCGAGTTTGAGTTTTGAGTTCAATTTAATAAACAAGAAGTGAAGTTTCCTGAAACTGTCAACGAAAGTTTTTGTGTATTTGATAAGTGTGCCTGAATATTGCAAACCTTTCAGAGGATTATCAAGAAATGAAAAATAAGTAATTTAAGACTTTTTATTTAATTGCCGACCGTCTACGTGCGGAGTACTATATCCATACAAGCTTTTATTTCTTTCAGAGATTTTGTTTTAATTTTTTTTTGTTTCGTAATAAATTTTTTGAATTGTCAATCAATTAATTGTGTTTATTCGAATTCATTGTGCGACCCGAGATTTTTTGCTCTATTCGTGACCAAGTTTTATTTCAGGTGTGTAATAAATTCTCTGGAATTTTCGGAAGTTGTTCGAGGCCACAAGTCTCTCAAATTGAGAAATGCTAAGTCAATATTGGAGAGGTTATAAAATTCTAAGTTTCGCATTTGTTTTGAGCAGGCTGGAGAGGTGCTTAGTGAGTGGCATAGTGACCACATGCCACTCGATCTTCATACGGTGAAGCATCAATCTTTAGTGCATGCTTATCAAATAAATTAGTAATTCTAATATGAAGATCAAATTTTAAATCATTACGGCGCACATCCAAAGTAACCCTATCTAAACCGAGTATACCACTAGACGGTAGGACAAAGCAATGCTATTCTTTTTTTTTAATTTTCTTGTAGTTATATTCTTCAAATTTTTCAGAATGTTCTTCAAATTCATCAAAACTTATTTCTTCGAAGTTAAATTTTCCGATTGTTGTGGAATTATTTTCTGTTGAAATGAAATTTCAGGTTACGGTAGAAAAAAGTTATAGTGACAAAAATAAATTTTCACAATTCGGAAAAGCCGCCATCTACGCTATCAATAACTCATAGGTACCTATATTTTTTCATTCCTACATTTGGTGCCATGTCTCATTGCAACGTTGGTTTGAATTCAAATACCGAGTTCTCTAATAAAATAAAACGGTAGTGACTATACGTGCTGAAAGTCACATGCGAAAAATCTCCACATGCCCCATATGGATTTACGGCCTTGTCATTTAATTGCAATAGCAATATTAGTTTACTGAGCTAGTCAGGTATATCAATCATCTGCATACGCTATAGTGAAAATGATTGACAGACATATTATGACACCGTAAACATACACATAACGATAAGATGGTGTTGAAATGCTCGCAAAATATTTTTATAAGATTATGTTTATGATTCAAGAGATAAATATTTAGTTTACCAGCAATAAACATTTAAGACTATTAATTGACTGCGAATGAATTACTGTCTAAAGTATGAATGAAGCATCTATTTCCATTAGTTTAGAGTGCGCCACTATAATTAATGACAGCTTGAATGTGCGCAAAATAAAATATTTGGCGATTTTTTCAACAAATATTACACTTTACACGTATATTTATTTTTGTATATTTCTCATCTCACTCATGTTTTTGTCTCCCTCGATTAAGCCTCGCGTTGTAACATCGAACGTGTTATCCCTGGTCAACGTTATAGAACTTTTCGTCTTTTTCAAATCAGTTTTTTTTCTTCATTAGAGATACATCCCGACGTACCTGTCCGTAGCCATTAGAAAGCAAGCTAAACTTGTTTCAAAACTGGTTAGTACCTATTAAATTTAAATGCATTAAACATGTTTACGT